ATAAAAGGTTGGCATAGGTACATCTTCTGGCAGATGATCGTCATGAGAAGAGTGAGCATGTGACTCATGTGCAGAGATCATTCTAGACACTTCCGGCTTTTGGTCAGCCAATATGACTGTCTGTGCCTCAGTAGTAGATTCAGGGTTAATGTGAACTTTATCAGTGGATATGCTTTCATTGTTGCCGAGCTCATCTTGAGAAAGACCTTTGATTTTGTTCGACTCGGTAGCAGCCTGCAATACATTGCTCGCGGCCACAACTGTGTCTTGTTGAGGCATAGCATCCGATCCTATAGATTTCGAAGTCTGTCCATTTTGTCTTGCAGGCGAGAGATTGCCAGTTTCTGCCACAGACGGGATCAAGACGAATTCATCCCTCATTAGGCATGTTTCAAGCTTCAAATTGTAAACCACGTATACCATAAATTCAGTGATCTGCTTCATTTTGGCTAGTACAGGCATGCTAGCACCCCGGAGAGCGATGGTACATCCTAGCTCTTTTGGGCACCCAGATAGATATATGTAAGTCTTCTTTCTTCCCGGAATATCTCCATGGACATAAGTTTTCACATCAAAACCAGAACTCTTGCCTATGTGTACTGGCTTTAGAGCTACCATATCGATAGACGAAATAACCTCTGTCTGGGCACATCTTGAAACCGCTTCTATTACTGAGGGTTTAACATTGTAGATAACGGCAATGTTTGCCTCAGCGAGATATTGCAAAGCAAGCCCGGAAATATGTTTTTGAACCAGAAGAAGCTGGGGACGCAGAGATGCAATTCGATTCACCATATTTCTCAAGAATTCTTTCTCTTGCGCGATAACAGGCTCCAGACTCATAAAAGACGATTGATGACGTTGATATTCAATTGGAAACGATACAATAACAATGCGGGGATTCGAAATACTCCTAGGCATACTTTTCAAGGCCAGGTTCTTGGTAAACACGACGCCGGATACATATGAAGTGTCACCTGGTTTTCCACCTGGTATCTTCTTTAACTTGACGTAATGGCGAATATCTATATCATCGCCACGCCGAACGTCTGGATTTACATCGTCCGTGCACTGAAGGAGAATAGGTATTAAGGCCTTCTCCCAAGAAGCAACGTTTGGAACGTCTGCGTCTTCAAGTAATTGGTGTAGCAGCCGCCGGACATGATGTAAACTGGCATTGTTTAGCTCTATAGCAGGAGCTTTAGCATCTCGCATTGATGCACTTCGAGTCATTTTTGAAGACATGCCTGCCGGCGTGGGCGCATCTGATAAGTGTTCCGGTGTCGCGACGTCTTCATTCACATTCCCATACCCCTTCGCTAAGCCTGTCGGCTTCATTTGTCTTGGCGAGGGTCGAGTGTGATGTAAGGTGTTACTAGCAACGCTTAGATTACGTCGACGATTCGGTCGTGTGAAAGCCCCCACAGTTGCACTAGCATCTTCTAAGCCTCGACTTGTGAAACTGATCCCACTGACACTTTTATCGCCAGTTCTAGCCCTATGTCTTTTGGTAGCGTTCAGCAAAGAGCCAAAACCCACTCTGTCATTTTCGAAAGGAGAAGTTGTAGTGTTACCATTGTTCAAAGTAGCAAAAATACTCATCTGTTCATCGGCGCTTGAGCCTTCATCTGACATATATGGTGCCAAATCTGGATCAATAATATTATCGTCATGGAAGGCTGGTAGACGAGTTCCTTTTCCAATATCATCGGTCAGTCCACGATGAAATGGTGCCCTGTCTCCGGCAGGGGTTTTGAAACGACCAAGAAAATTGTGTTTTGACTGATGCCGCCTATGGCTAGAAGATGAAGGTCTCGCGGCAGTAGACAAGGCTTTCAATGATCTGGATGAGCTTGGGCGACTCAGTTGCGGTGCATCTATTTCTAGAATGGCGGAGCGCCTGTTGGAAGAATCTCCAATTCGTCGCGTGGCAGGTATGGCCATCATTGGGGTCGCTAGAGGTCTAGATTCGTCTCCTATCTTCACTGAATCACCTGAACTCTCCGGCAGATCTATTTTAGTCGATGTAGAGGAGTCAAATTTGGCCTGTTGAGAATGGAAGAAAGTCGGCAAGCCTGATTCGTCATCCGAATCGTCGGAGCCGCTGCTATCGTGGCGCCTGTTAATAATGTCGAGGCAAGTTGTACACATCCGAAGTGACCCCTGAACACCAAATCTTTGGCCTGAAATAGTCTGTGTGCATTTGGAGTCAAAGATACAGCCGCAAGTTCGGCAATGATGTTTTCTGCGAAAGGCAGTGAAAGGATCGCCGCATAAGAAACACTCTTTGCAGATGTCATCAGCCATCCAAAATTCCTTACTGAGGACTTGCTTTCTCATTTGTTCTAAGCGAGCGCTCACTACTTCTGCATTACCTCCATTTGTAGTAGTGCCGGGTATACGAGCTCTACCGGAGTAAGTGCGCGAAGAACGCTCATCTGTACCAAAAGAATCATGCCGCACATGATTATGGGCAGACGTATGGACAGGACTAGCTTCCGCGGTACTGCGGTCTGTCGAAGAGGCACGTGATGCTTGATAGCCAGGGAGATGTGACTGAGTTATACGTTCGACGGCAGGGCTTCGCCTAGCAGTTTCTGGGATGAAGAGACGCGGTGTTGCATTCGGTCTTGGATCTGAGCTTTTTATGGAAGAAAGTGCAGACGATGCTGTTTTAGGGTTACTCAGAGATTTGGCCCTTCCTGTGGCGCTGCCATCACTAGCACGAAAGTTCATCTCCTGGGAATCCTTTTTGGAGTCTAAATTACCTAGCGACATTCGCCCAACGGATTCGCTTTTCATGGGCTCAAAATCAAAAGACTCCGAATCGTCTAAGCCCGAAGAATGGCCTGGAAAACGTCTACTTTCAGATGCGCTAGCTGACCCAAGCGTGTTAGGGTTAGTGTAATCTGACGCTGAAGCTGGCTCGGATCTTCTGAAGCACCTTTTTTATTTACTTTATCTGTAACATTTCCATCCGAACTCCCCAGCCGAGCCTTCTCCCCCTCTTTAAATGCAACCGCGTTGACAGGTGCAACGGTAGGGACAATAGCTGAAGACGAGGCGTTCTTGACCATCGGATTGAGAGGAGGCCTGGCTGACGATTTTGAGGTTGAGGGTGCTGACGAGAGCGAGGCTTTTGACGATTTGATAGCATGTGAATGCATCTCAGACGAATTCCCCATGAACGAAGATACAGATGGGGACTGAAGTTGTGAAGATGTGGTGGAAGGTTGGATGGGTGAAGCAGTAATGCCCGAATCCTCACGCGCAAGACCGGCAGAACCTTTTGGTCCCGGAGTAATATTCGATGCATTTTGGCTCTTGATTGAAATCGTGTCGAAGCTCTCATTGTCACCTTTCACGGAGGTACTTCCTGCTTTATCCTTTCCTACTCCAACTGCGCCTTTAAACCGACTGTATAGACCACTCAAACCATTTTGCATAATATCCCCAGCCAGGCCTTTACTCTCAGGGTTCGAGGAGGATGGAGGTGGAGGAGCAAACTCGTTGAACGTGGTAAGGGTCTCTGACTGACAAGCAGTACTATGTATTTTATCAAGAGCTTGTGCCAGCTGTTCCTTATCAACGGGGGTGGCCCCAGGAAGTGATACTAACGATCCTCGACGAGATCGCGCTCCTAGTGGAATCAATAGCGGCGCCATCACAGAAGGTCTTGGGGATCCATGGGATGACATCTTCTTTTCATACACACGCTGGTAACCTCTTATTTTAGCCTGTTGAAATTGTGAGGGTGAACTCAGAGCTCTTGGTTCTTAGCAAACCGATGCCCTCCTATCAAGAGCGAATCATATATTGTGTTCGATAAACCAAAGTTGTGCGACAGCTTAGACCGCTTCGAGTTTGCGTAATCATGTCATGAAGTTGATTTGTAAATTCAGGTAGGTTGTCTTGCGGAACGAAATGTGCAGATTGCTCTTTGGCTGGATGGATGAATGGTCAGCCAGATGAGATGAACGCCCTTGATAGAATCACTAACTGGAAAGTGGTGGCAGCATTTCTTATGACAATAACAATTTACTTGGATTATTGAATAAGCTACAGCAGTATTTGTTTTCGCTTTATGAGTCGAAGAGTAAGCTGCATTTTGGGAAGGATCAATAGAAACGAATGTACTTTATTTGAAAAGCGTACCTAGGTAGTGAGGATACTGGAATTTCTCCTCATGCAAGCAGTTCACACCTAACAAATGGTAGGGTCGAGGTAGCACGGGCAGCTTCACATGATTGAGAAAAAGCGGTCCACAAAATCACTCAAATAAGATCATAATCATGCATTGGAAACACTGTGACACCTAGTAGGTATCTTATAGCAATGCACAAGATTCTAATGATGTATCTATGATAATTCAGAGGGTTGTGGACCCGTTTGTCTCATTTTTGATCCAAAATAATGATTGCATGAATTGATATCGAATATTGTTGAGAAAAGTGTATTTCTAAGTGTCCCGGGTTTCTGCTCTACTGGAGGGTACCTAGGTAGATATCATCATTGTCAAGTTAGATAAGGTTTGTTCATCAGCAAAACTGCTATGACGGGACATTGGCATTCCAAGGTTTCGATCACCATCAGCCACACACGCCACATTATGCTCCTTCTTGCCTAGCCCAGCCTCGAGCTAGTCTAGCACGTGCCTAGTACTCCACTCTATCGTAAATCGATATCGCGAACGCGTCTTCCAGATTATTATATTAGGTCAACTCAACTCAACTCGATCTTACTCAATCCATTTACCACATTAATAAACAATCTCAAGGCTATGAATATTGACTGCGCACTTGAAACATTGTCGCTACCACAACGTTCATTTATACTTTCCAGAAAGTCTCCCCGGGTAATTCAACAACATGTTATGATACTACTTATAGTCTTTGTATCTACGGGGTTGTAACATTATGAATTAAGATTCACGGATTCTTATTCGAACGGGATATTATAACACTAGAGATCTCAAATAATCCACAGCAATCAACTTCATCATGACTCTCTTGCGAAGCTGGCTTGCCCAAAATATTGAACAATCTTTGAAAGAAGCACTGATTTGGCTGAAATCAACACGTGTTGCACATGAAAAGGCCAGCAAGTCTCACGAACAATTCTCTTACGAGCAGGAAAGACTCTTCATCAAGCTCGAAAAGCCCGGATTGATTCATTTGATTAGTGTGGGTCATTTATTTGAATATTTTTTCAATAGTTCTTTCTGTTGACACATCTACAGAACGGCGAGGCGCGGGATTCAATGCAGTCTATGATTGTATCTGATGGTACCACCAAGATCACAGCAATATTTCAAGAAGATTTTCTGAATCGCTATTGGAGAAGCACAAAAGGGACACTGGGGAGTTTATTGGAGAAACTCTAGCAGCGGAGAAGCTGCAATTGGTATGATGACCTCGCCAGTTTATAACAAGTTCCTAGGAGTACTAACTTCAACTTCGGGTGTGTGACTTCAATACTACAGTAGAGCCACCAACCAGGTTATACCTGAAGATCTCAAGTTTTAAGCCCAAAGGGCCGCAAGATGTTTCTGGCTCAGCACGTGCTGTAGACATTGGGGGAATTGTTGATGACAATTTGGATGCAATAAAAGAGTTCCTGGATGCTGAGAATCGTGGGTACGCTGTTCACCAAAATTTCGAACTCGAATCCCAAAATACTTCAACACCTTTCCAGTCTGTTTTGCTTGCGACACAAGATCCCGCTAGTATTTCAGAATCCAGAAGGGAAAAGAGTACTGTTTCTGATTTGCATCGACCAAAGCTGTGCACTTCGAATCATGATGTCCTAGCAATTCTTCAGAATCCTACGGCCGTTCAAATTACAGCTGATAATCCTCATCTCAGTAAGCCAGGACAACCACTTGACTCGGCTGATATTACGGGTTTAGCACAACCACTTTCCCCCAAATCAAGTTTTGTTGCCACCAATTCGGAAAGAGGTGATGAAACGAGACACATGAACGATTTACAGGTTCAACAGTCTCCCAGGCCTTCCGTAGATGAACAAAGAACTGGTAATATCAGGACGCTAGGAGATGGGAGGCCTAATGCGAACAATTCGACGCTAGAGGCTATGGAATCTTCCAGCGGGAAATTTCATGATAATCCTCCAATCAATGAAACATTGCTATTTCAGAAAAATCTGTCGTATATTCCACACCCTTATGGTCGTATTTCAAAAGAACAGAACGATTGGTGCAATCGTCCGGAATCGGTTGCCTCATTACCGGATGATCGTAGATCCGCACCAAATCTACCCCCAGCAATCCTGAAATCTCAACTAGCTTTTTACGAGAAATTGCTCGCTACACAAGCTTCAGCCACTCCCAAGAATGTAGTACAGAGCAGTCAGGCCTCCAAAGCAGACTCGAGCCAGGACGCTATTGAGACGGAAAGGGACGATTGTATGGATGGTCCCGCTGCCATTTGCCGCTCAAAAGGAACCGAAGAATCTGAATATGCTCATGAAGATCCGCAGTCTATAACTGTGTTTGGTAGTGGTGAGGGTCATCAGTCGGATAGCGACTCAAGTGATATGACGGAAGTTAGTTGCCCTAGTCCGGAGCGAAACTCAAGATCTAGACACGCGATGGAGGAAAATTACACCTCCCATCAAAGTTTAAATCGAAATCGTACACACTCACCAAAAGAACACAGCGACGATGAGGATCACCATTCAGATAGCAAGTTGAGTGATGCGATGGAAGTTAGTTGCCCTAGTTCAAACCGCAACTCAAAGCTTAGACAAGCGGTTGGGCAAAACGATAACGTCGAGCAAATTGCAGGTCGAGCGAATTCTTTAACTATTGAGAGTGATGATGGAACGCATAATTCCGATAGTTCTGATGTGCCAGTCTCAGAGGCTTGCCAAGAGGCCACCCCGCAATCTTCTCCCAATGTCACAGAAAACAAGGCGAGTTGTGTTATCAAGGACAAAGAACCTACAGCATTGATCCAATACCCAGCTAATAGTGCTTCGGATGACGAGGAGTTGGAATTGGATATTCCGCATGTCCTGGGCGACGAAATTCAGAGCGAAAACCCACCTGCTTCTGCTGACGTAGACAACGGAATCCAGAGTCGCAAATCACCTGAAAATGATCACCCGCAATTTCCACAGCGTCAGCTCGAAACCGCGCAGCGTGAGTCAGAAGTACAGGTCGAAAAGACTCCAAATCACCGAAAACGGCCGAATGCAGAACTGTCATCAGACTTTGTGATTCCTGGAACTTATGATAGCCCACAAAACGAAACGGTCGAAGACAGCTTCCTTATCCCTGAATCCGGGCGATTTCAATCACTCAAATTAGTGAAAGTACCTCCTCAGATGATCGACGTAATCGGTGAGACTCCCCAAGACAAAAAAGAGCCAAAGAACTCTAAGGTTCAACACTCTCGTGAGCAGCAGATATCATCAAATTCCAATGATCATATAGTTTATCCGAGTGTACCAAGGACTCAGTATTACCAATCTATACCAATTCCTAATCTTGATGGGGCTACTTCTGATGGTTTGCACTTTCCCAGTAGGAGCCCGTCCATAAGCTTTTTACCATTAAGTCAAAGTTCTCCAGAGCAAGGACACGGTGGGGAACGTCCTTTCAAACGGCAGAAAATTACGGATCCTATAGCTCTACAGCAGGTTCTAGGTTTTAGTCGAGAGGAAACGCCTTGTAAAGACAGAAACGAAATGGTAAGAGCAAACAGGCGTAAGATACGAGAAGTTCTACAAAGGCGATCATCAGTAGTAGATCCGGGTTTAATGAGCAATAATACCGGAGGAACAAAAGATGTAGCATTTCCAGAAGATTCCCAAACAAGTCGCCATGGATTTGAGACAGATTTACATGATACAGTAATCTCTGATCAGACCTCCACATCTTACAAAAACTTCCCCCCAGGTCAATCATCTCCCACTTTCGACGGTCGCGACATGACCAGAGCTTCGATTGTACCCGAAAGAACTCGGCTGAGCTCGGGGCATGCTCACCAGTCGAAACAGCGGCCCACTTCGCTTTTTGAGAAGTATTCTAATACTTACCCACGCTATAAGGGCAATAAGAGACAGTTCATATGTGCACTTGTATATTTGGAATGGCTTGGGACCCCCACCAGACAACCTCGGACATCACTTTGGGATGATTTTGTTTGGTTCTATACTCTGTACATGGACCATGTCCTCAACAGTAGAAACAGGTTGAGTGGAGTTAGATTCTACAATGAATTGGGCATTTCTGATCCTTATTTTACTCACTTCGACAAAACAACAGGACCAATAATCACCACAGAAAGCCTTAATGCTGCATTATCGCCAGAATCTCCAGATTATGGTGTTATTGAAGACTTGCGTGAAAAATACAGAAGCACTGCCTCGCAACCGTTAGTTAGTCCCGGGAGCATCAGAGCAAATTCTTTGAGGCAACAATCGAGTGAGTTCATTACTTTTGCAAATACCGATACCCCTTTACCATCAGGAGCCTCCACTCATCTTGAAAAACTTGCCTCACGAAAATCCTCGAGAAGTTCGGATCGATCGCCATCATCAAAACATACAGAACTCATGCCAATGAGACAAAAGAAGAAGCGGACTCGTTCAGAAACAACAATTTTGAGGAACGGAACCCCAGAAGACTTTTTAGTGTCATCTAAAGCGTCAGCATTACAATCAACTTCATCTAAAATGCCAGAGACAAATGCGTCGCCATCAAGGGCTTCAAAAGAGCCTAGAAAAGCCCCAGGAAGGTTTTTTGAAACCCAAAGTCAATTGCTATTCTCATCAGATATTGAATCGTTGCCTCATAATAGTTCCTCGCCTCCCCGAAATCTGGCATCACCACGGAGTTTGCGGAAGACTCCGGATGGTCCACCATCAGTACGAACAAGCGCTTGTGAGTTGGCAAGCCCAGTTCAGCGAGAGGCTCCACGTATTGTGTGTGAAATGGGCTTCTCGAGAGAGCGCAGACCGCAACAACGTATATCAAAATCCTCACGTGAAAGATCAATATCTCCACCGCCGCCACGGGAGATCGGGAGATACACGCCAGCCTCTGATAAACCAGAAAATGTTGATGCCGGCCTTGAAAATCAAGAACAGCAGACCAGCCTTGAAAAATCAACCAAGTTCTCATCGACCGCATCGAACTTCAGTGGTAAATGGGAATTTGGCAAGTATCTCGCCCAAAGACGGAGGGAGAGCGGTGTTCGTCGTTCAAGATTGACACCAAGGACTAGTTTCGGCATGAAGCCAAGATCTAGTAGTGACAATAAAGGCTAGGATGGGGTCGTTCATTTCTCAAAGATAGCCCAGTGTTTAAGAATCTGTACTTAGAGTTGTGGAGACCGGCGTGTCAACTCATATAAGGTTATCAATACCCAGATCAATAAGAAACATATTTTACAAATTGTGTTTGAGCACCAATGTAAGAGCTGCTTTGCTATGCCATTCAAACAAACATCGCTGCCCTAATGGCCCGGGCTCAGGGTGTGAAATAAAATCTCTTGGGAGGTGTGTAAGTGGGGAGCTATCTACGTGATAGGCTAATGCTATTGAAGTATGAATTAGGGGCCCACAGGGGCTGCATAGTATCTAAAACGAACTCTTGGAAATAATTCATACAGCACAACGTTGAATTAGTTGCCCAATAGTAAACCCTATGTACTGCTACATGCATTGGTGTGAAAACTGAGTGTACACATGTATATGTACTCTAGACAATAAAGCGATAGATTTAGGTAGATTCCTGCTAGGAAAATGGAACATTTCAACGACATATAAGTTACAATGGCATCGATATTAATTATACGAACTTGTCCTAAAGGACCCCTCATTGCCACATCTGATACAATTGGAGACTACCTAGTAACGACTCTCACCGTTCAGGGATAATAAGGAGGTACATAAGCAACTCCCTTACAGCTCACATCCTCGTATCAATTCATTTCAATCGATCAATCACGTTGCTTTTTGGGCCCTCCTTGCATGAGATCCAGCCTCAACGCCTCCTCCTTATGCCTTTGATGCTTATGTAGCATATTACCTTCACTCACCGTCCTTATATCTTCTTTGCTCACATCTCTACTTCATTATTGCTCATCAAATATTGTTTAGAATCAACTCAAACAATTTCAACATGTCATCATCAAACCGCTTTTTGATCTGGGGAGGAGAAGGTTGGGTTGCTGGTATGTCTAACACCCCACTCCAATTCAAGAGCTTCTGAACCGTGCTAACCCAGTTCCCCCAGGACATCTCAAGACTCTCCTCGAAAGTCAGGGAAAGGAAGTTTACACCACCACTGTTCGCATGCAAAATCGCGAATCTGTCATTGCAGAAATTGAGAAAATCAAGCCAACCCATGTTCTTAACTGTGCTGGCTGCACTGGACGCCCCAATGTCGATTGGTGCGAGGATAACAAGGAGGAGACGATTCGAAGCAATGTTATCGGAACGTTGAACTTGACTGATGTTTGCTACTTGAAGGGTATTCACATTACCGTCTTCGCTACAGGATGTATCTATACCTATAACGATGAGCATCCAATTGGCGGACCTGGATTCTTGGAGACTGATCCAGCCAACTTTGCTGGCTCATTCTACTCAGAAACGAAGGCCCACGTCGAGGAGGTTGGTGCAATTCCTTCAATGATCTCAGAGACAGATACTAACAACTACTGCGCAGGTTATGAAGACATACAACAACGCCCTTATCCTCCGACTTCGAATGCCCGTCAGTGATGACCTTCACCCCCGAAACTTCGTCACCAAAATTGCCAAATATGACCGTGTAGTCGACATCCCCAACTCGAATACCATTCTCCACGATCTTCTCCCTGCTTCCATCCTCATGGCCGAGCACAAAGATACCGGTATTTACAACTTTACCAACCCAGGAGCCATTTCTCACAACGAGGTTTTGGCCCTCTTCAAGGAATATGTGAGACCCGATTTCACATGGAAGAATTTCACATTGGAGGAACAATCCAAGGTCATCAAGGCGGGACGAAGTAATTGCAAGTTGGATACTACCAAGTTGGTCAAGAAGTTGGGCGAGTATGGGTATGAGGTCCCAGAAATTCACGAGGCGTACAAGGGATGTTTCCAAAGAATGGCTGCTGCCGGTACCAAATAGATGGGGCTCACATGTAACATGTAACGTGGACACATGCAGAGGCTGTGATTCTGTGTCTCGTCATCTGAAGTATACCTTTACTCTACAACGTGGTAGATATCTTCACGCTATATTTCAAATAAATATACTTATTATTGTTATTGTCCAAAACGTTCTAGGATTTCTCGAATGTATGCTTGTGATATGATGAGAATATGAAAATATGGCTACAATCACCGACGAGCCACTTTGACATTATTGTCAGAGGGGTTAAGATGATACACAACGGTTCTATATACGCCAGCATGGGTTCTCCAGCTTGATTGTTGCGCATACATGCCATTGGAAGAGATGAACATGTTCACAACTTCATATTGAGCAACCAACCCATGTTTTGCGATGATATTCATCCAGTATTTCCTGTTCCCTCTTCCTTTTATGACGTTTCCTTCTTCCCAAAGTTAATTCGGTGGGTGCATTGATGAAATCTTAATCTTAAGTACTTTCATACTGTATTTTATGGATCCTTGGCTGCCCCTCCATGAACGAAAATTTCATGCAAACGAACTGAGACAACACTACTGTAGAAAAAAGCACTAGATAGGTAGGTATTTTAGGTAGGTACTGGGTTGAAACTTGACAGCAAATGACCTGATAATAAGGAAATTTGATATAAAAAGAAAACAATAACAAAGTCATCATCAGATCTAGCTAATGTGTACCTCAACACCCAAATTATTATTTAAAGAATTATTGACAAGAGTAAGAAGAGAAGAGAGAGACAGACATCGATATCGTTCGTAATCGTGATCGTGATTGTGAATACCTACATAAGCTCATAAGCCACCCTCGCCTTCGCTTCTATGACAGTCAATAAAGCCTCGCATCATACTATCACAATCTCGGCATTCCATTCTTGAATTGCGAGAAAATAATTTCAGCCTTACACCAAAAACCTAACGAGCCACTGTATATTCATCCCATCCCGACTTTCCTTATCATTAAGATCGCGGAATATACTATTTTCTCTCTTAATCTATCTATTTACCTATTACAACCAACTGTTGTGCTCAAATAACCTCATTCCCTAGAGTACCCCTCAGCAACCTTGAAGATGGTTGTTGACACCACATATTATGAGGCCCTCGGTGTCAAACCCGACGCTTCAGAATTAGAAATCAAGAAAGCATACAGAAAACTAGCTATTATCACTCATCCGGGTAGGTACTTCTTGGCCATTCTCTCACAACATGCGATATTGATGTAGCTGCAGATAAGAACCCCGGCGATGACACCGCTCACGAGAAATTCCAAGCTATTGGCGAAGCCTACCAAGTTCTCAGCGATGAAGAGTTGCGCAAACGATATGATAAATTCGGAAAGGATTCTGCGCAACCTGGGGAGGGATTTGCGGACCCGGCAGAGTTCTTTGGAACGATTTTTGGAGGGGAAGCTTTCGTGGATCTTATTGGAGAGATTACTTTGATGAAGGACTTGACGAAGACTATGGATATCACTATGCAAGAAGGCGCGGAAGAGGAAGAAGAGTGAGTTTGGTTCTATTATGACTGCGGGGCATGGCTAGCGAACCTGAGGGGCATTGCGATGCTTTGTGATTATTTCGAGGGGTTGACTAATGCGATGATAGATTCCCAGGAACTGAGGCCGCGAAACAGGAGAGTATGGCCGCAGGAGATGAAAAGGCTGGACCATCGGCGACAGAAGCAGATGGCAAAACTACCCATGTTCCCTCCGCATCTGTGTCTGAGACTCCAGACAGCCCTTCGCCCGCATACTCGGAGAAGCCACCAGCTGTCCCCAGCCCTGCCGCATCGGGAACATCAACTCCAAGGCGTACCACACAGATTCCTCTCCGACCAGCTATCATGAACCAAACTGAAGAAGAGGCACAAATGGCTGCCGCAGGTATCACAGAAGAGGAGAAAGAGTTGAGGAAGAAAGAGAAGAAGAAGGGTGGTCTCTCCAAGGCCCAACGTGACGAACTTGCAGCGTATGAGAGAGAACGTGCTGCAGCTCGCAAAGAGCGAGTCGACACATTGGCAAAGAAGTTGGTCGATCGTATTAGCATATGGACAGAGACAGATAAGGGACCCGATGTCACCAAGGCTTTCCAAGAGAAGACACGCCTCGAAGTAGAGAACCTCAAGATGGAATCTTTTGGTCTGGATATTCTCCATGCGATCGGTCAAACTTATCTTCAGAAGGCTACCGGACTGCTCAAATCCCAGAAATTCTTAGGCATTGGCGGTTTCTTCTCTAGACTAAAGGACAAGGGAACTATCGCAAAGGAGACCTGGAACACTATCTCCAGTGCTATCGATGCGCAAATGACCATGGAGGAAATGGCCAAGATGGAAGAAAAGGGTGGCGAGGACTGGACGGACGAGAAGAAAGTTGAATATGAGCGTCGCGTCACAGGAAAGATCCTCACAGCCGCATGGCGAGGAAGTAAATTTGAGATTCAAGGTGTTCTTAGGGATGTCTGCGATGAAATCCTCAACGACAAGAAAGTTCCCATGGCGAAAAGACTTGAGCGTGCTCAGGCTCTCGTCATTTCTGGTGAAATCTACTCCAAGGTATATTTTACCCATCCCCTGTGTCCACAATTTTCGAGCTATAACTAACAAAACCTTTAGGCTCAACGCAACCCAGAAGAAGAAGGCGATTACATGGCCTTCGAACAATTGGTCGCCGAGGCAGCTGCAAAGAAAGAGAGCAAGAAAAAGGGAAAAGATAAGAAAGAACATGGTCATCATCATCATCACTCGCACTCGGATGCGCAAGCCGCCGCGGATGACTTACCTAACGTACCGAAAGCCTAAATCTAGGTGGAGAGATTAGATAAATCGAGTGAAATGGGAGGTAGGAGAGGAGCAGGACTTCAGTGGTAGTATATTATACCTAGCGAAGGGACATCTTGTTATTGCGTTGATCAAAGATCAAACGTCTTGATTAGGGTTGCAGTGTGCCAAGAGCACGATCTGTGGATTTGGGCGTGGAAGGGTAGCAAGTAGATGCCATGTGTATGTCATTGTGGTTATTTTGCATAGGGAATGGAGAGGGATGAGAATGATAGACTTTCAACTTCTATATGAGATTTCAATATTCGTTCCTGTTGAGATTCTCGATTTACATTGGCTATTCGACAAAGCTAGGTATAATAGGTGTAAAGAAGGTCAAGGAAAGATAGTAAACACCCTAGCGAAATCCCTTCCCCGAGGGCGTATAGGATCTTATTCTTATTATATGTTATATTGCTTACTTGAAGCCTCTACACGGCAATCCGAAGCAATGCCAATCAATAACTGCAGCCCGGTATAAAACACTCTAACTCAACAAAAAGTATTCCAATTCTAATGAAATATACAGAATTCATCCTCATTATTAAATAAATTGACATTTTAAAACTGATTTGAAATTACAATGGTTCTTGGGGTTTTCATTAAATATTTATAATAAAGTGTTGAAAAGAAAATGGCTGACAAGAGCTCACTAAAAAAGGTTCCAGAACTCTTACATCAATTAATAAATCTCAGGTACAACGAAAAAGAAGAAATTTTATAGGAGTTCATTAGCGTAGCGCCGCACTTAGCAAACTCATAAGGCATTACAAAAAAGTAAAGAATTAGAGTTCCGCATGATCAAATGCAGGTGCAGTGTTTTGCAGTTCTGGGATACCCGTGTCTTTCGGTGCGAAGTTTCCTTGTCTGATTTCGTTCAAAGCGACGTCGAATCGAGCTCCTGCAAGCCATGCTGCTCCGATCTAGATAGTGTTAGTAGAGATTTCATGATTCCAGGGGAAGAAACATACCATAAGTCCAGAGACGACTATCAGGGTTCCGAATACTGCCAACATGAGGTAGAAGACATCTTTCTTGGCCTCTGCTTCCTCGGCTGCTGATTTTTTCTGTGCTACAGATGTTTCACCAGCTAGTTGTAAAGCAATCGCCTCAGGATTTTGAGATGGGAATATAGATTCAATGAATTGTTCAATCTAAAGGGAGTTAGTCTTGTATGTTTGTGTAATAAAATCGAATAACAAACCTTTCCGCAAGCAATGCTGATCTGAAGGAAGTTGGGGTCCTTGGGTGAATTCTTTTTATTTATCCTTCTTGCATATCTCTTAAAGATATCACAAACTGTACGCAAATTTTGTGATGATTCCATCATCAATTGGCAAGCATCACCCTTCGTGATCTTGACATTCTTCTCGAAGATAGTAGGATTCTGGAAAACAAGCTCTAAGGTTGCGATTGCCATGGCTTGTGGAATAGCAACAAAATTGAAGACACTCTGGTCCTTAATGCCTGCCATGTAGAACAAACATTCATCGGCCTGGCGGAGAGAATTTAGAACCATTTCTGAACTGCAATTCAAAGCAAGTTGTCTATTTTTGGGATCGAAAAGATCGTCAAACTCATCAACGTGCTTCGACCAGATCTCCTTGGGCCAGAAACGTCTCTTGTCATCGAAATCTTCCCGAATATCACGAATGATATTTGTCTTTTGGAGGAATTGACCCATGGCTTCGGACAATTCTGGCTTACCGAGCAAAGCTGGGTTTGCCACCTTGGCCTCGACGAACAATCTTGTCAAGCCATCTCCTACGAGACCGGCTACATAATGACAGTATAATTCATAATCCTTGATAGTGTTGACACCATTGATGTTGTGCTCTGCATTGTTCGCATAATCGGCCATTCCATTACCCATCTTTCTAGTAATATCCTTGATAATGCTCTGGTATGCTGGTTTGCACTTCTTGAATTCAGTGATGACACAGTCAAAGTGAACCAAGAGTTCTCGATCCTTTTCATTTGGTCCGTTCTCGTTGAATGTCCATCCATCCTTCTCAATGATGCTGTCAAAAGTTCTCAACAACGGTTCCTTCTTGTCTAATGGTATTGTCATATCATCTTCAACGGTATCTAGGCCTCGCAGAATCAAGTAGAAAAGGGCGACTGGCACAAGCAATTCGGGGTTCAATTCTTGGATGACTG